ATATTTAAAATCTAGTCGGTGTAAATAATATGGAATCTTTTTTGAAACGATGTATATCAAAATTAAAGTAAACCAAATGAAAATAACTGATGCACTGTTTACTATAAACAGAGGTGTTAAAATTATCTTTTTTGATTTGAATGGAATATTGTTAAAATTTTCGTTATTAGAGATAACTTAAAAAGGTCATAAAAATTGAAATATTTTTAAATGAAATTCATTTGTACAAATTCAGAGCAATAAAAAACTCTTATAAATTAAAAGAAAATTAAGAATTAATATACTTTAGATATGACAATATTTGTATTGCATAGTTATATATGCAAATTAAAATAAATTGATTTTAAATACTTATATCCTTATATCTAGAAGATTATAAAAGATATCTAACCCTCCAAATAGAAGAGCAGTTCCACTCACTGTTCCAATAGAATACAGAATATATTGATTGCTTGAAGAAGCCATTTCAACCTATTCAACTGTAGTTACATCAACAAAAATAATATCAGCAATTTTGGTTGTTACTATCTATTATTATTATAGAAATAATAAAAAAAACCTATTTTTTCTATAACCATCGCTAGATTTAAAATGAGAAAGGTTGGTAAAGCTAATTTTGAGTCCATAGTTCTTTATGCTTTAATTAAATGATATCAAAAAATTAACAATTAAGTTTGAGTTTGGATGAATTACTAATAAACTATTGATATTCAATTATAATCATATTCATATCAGAAAAGATGTCATATTATTTTATGTTTATTTCTTCTTAACCATTCAGAATGATTACTTCAACATCCTTATTAAAATCTATATCATTATTAAATCCGATGAGTATGTTATATGATAATTAAAATAATCTAATATTATTGTATATAGAGTGATCACCTGCTTATATTAGAATTGGAATTTGTAATACTGGTTTGATAAACAAACTGGACCTTTACAAATAAATTATTTTTTATTCTGCATGTGCGATCACAATCATCTCTATTTAATATAAAACTACTATCGCATTCTTTATCAACACTCATTATTAAATCTCCAAATTTAGAATAACATATGTTATTTTCAAAAATAGAGAATAAACCAACAATATCTTTACAATATCTTTACATTTTTAACACTATCCTTAATTATTTAATTTCAATCGGCACAAAGTATCGAAATTATTGAGCACATTTAAACAAACTAATTCTTGAATGAAGTATAATTACACACATTAAGTACAAATAGTGGAATTTAATGTATTATTAAAATCACATTAATTGCAATCATCACTAAATTAAAAAAAAAATTGAAGGTTCAAGTATTTTATTGATACATTTGTAATTAGGATTTATTTTATAATTAGTACATCCATCTCTTTGAATTTTATGTCCATCATCACAATCTTCTCCATATGTCCATTATTTATCAGTAAAATCTTTATATTTGCAATCTTCCTTGCTTTTTACCTTCAATAGAATTACATGATAAACATTCATTATTTTCAGATAAAAAATACTCAGAATAACAGATACAATCATTATTTTATAAAATTCTATTCAATAAAGCAATTTGTGCATTCAGCTTATGAAGTGCATGATTTGCATCTGAAATTGCATTTTAAACATTAGGTGTAATTAGATAAATAATAACCTTAATAACAAATACAAGAATCCTTTTCAAGAATAATATGTTAGATCTAAAAACATTATGTACAAATTTATTGGGAAATACAAATTCCACATGGAAATTAGCATTTAAAATAATTAACATTATCTCTTTAATATCCTTATTTGCAAATGCATTTATTATCAACTAAATCAAATGTCTTAATACAAAAGTACAATTATCTGATTAATTTACACATGGTTTACAATCTGCAATATTATTACTTGTATAAAATATATATAATAATTTTAATACTTCTAATAATGCCTTTGTTAATAAATTAAATTATAATTTAAAAAGGTCTTTGAATTATTACATAATAATCAAGTATTATTGATAATATTCCAATCCTCCTAAACAAAAACAATCCGTTCCAGTTTGATTCATATAACATTTCATATCTATTCCAATCCTGATAAAACCATTTTTAATAAACAATAATATAATTAATTCGTTACTTCCACTCAAACATTTTGTTCAAAATCTATACACTCTTTATAAATTCAAAAATATTAAATATCGTTAAGGTAATATTATTCTTAGCATTCAGTACAATTTTATTATGAATAACAGCTAGAACATTCAATTTTGCATAATTTACATTTAAAATCTTCGTTATAGTAGAATCAAACTTGACACTAGCATTCGTTTTGAATATAGACTAATTTGTGTCTGAACATTTAAGACATTTATTAGAAGCATTTACACTAGTTTAAAATTAAGGAGAAAATTTTAGACATAAATTGTCATTAAAATAATATCCATCTCTACAATTGCATAAATTTTATTCTAAAATATATTTAGTATCATCAACACAAGATAAACAATAATTAGCATTGATTGTACAATTTAGACATGGTGTTTAATATTCTTGACATGAATAATTGTTCATATAATATCCATTTTAACATCAACATTAATTGTTGATTAATACCTGATTTGAATCTAAACATGTCAAACATTATTCTTGGTCACAAGTTGCACATAATGGTTAACAAGGAGTGCAGGAACTTAAGGAATCAGCATAAAATGAATCTTTGCATATGCAATTGAAATTTTCATTCAGAATATGATAATCACAATTACAAGAATTACAATGATTCTAATTTACTGAACAAGTTTAATATAATTAACATTCAATACAATTGTTATTCTAATCACTTTTCCAACCTTAATCACATTTACATTTGCCATTTTCAATTATATGATGAATATCTTAACATTATGTACAAGTCTCAGTATAAATATAATACGAAATAATCTATAGTTGTTTAACATTTAATATATGGAGGAACACATGACTCGCATGAATTCCCAATCAGGACATATCCATCTTAGCAAATACATTAATTTAATTCATTGATAAGTTAATGTTCATCAATGCATGACAAATAAAAAGTTGATGAATTTTTACAAGTCCAATACACTATTCACATTTCGATGGATTAAAATTTAAGTCTTCATAATATCCATCTAAACAATAACATTATCTATTTTTGTTATTTTTATTGAATGTAGAAGCACATTCTAAATATGAATTAGAATCTATATGAAATTTAATACATAGATGACTACATTATTAACATAAAAATGATTCATCCATGAAATATCCATCTTAAAAATTAAATTATGGCAAAATTTGTATGAGTTAATCATTACAAGATAGACAAGTATTCTCTGAAGAACAATTTTTACATGGTAATTTACATGATTTGCATGATTCATCTTCAAAATAACTATCATCACAAACACAAGTTTAATTATTTAAATGCCTATTTAAACCAGTTATACAAGATTGACAATTTGTTGATGAACTTGAACATGTATAACAAGGACTTAAGCAACCAAAACGACTTTTTGGATTCGTATCAGCTTCAAATTCATTGATTTAACATGAAAAACTATTTGAAACTAATGCATAAGTTAGTGAATATGATAAACAAGTAGAAGCGGTTGTTTCACAAGTTAAATATGGAAATTAGCATTAGTCACACATAAATGTTAAGTATTTAAAAAATATCCATTCTCAATTTAGCAAGTAAGTGTTGATTAATGTAAATTATCAATACATGAGACACTTGTTGTTATTATTGTAGCATATTTACCTTAATTATAATCAATATTAAATTTTAATAAAGTTCTAACTTCTATTTTACAGAAATGCACAAGATACTTTTATTGATGTTGCAGTATATAACTTAAAGCTAAAGTAATAGAAATTCAATATTAAAAATAAATTAATGAATTGCACTTTTCATATTCAAAATCAAATATCATCGATCTGTAGAGCTCCTCATAAATGTGAATGTTAGAGAAAACTGTGCGCCGAATGCCAAGATGAACATGGAGTGGATTCAAAATATATAGTATCGGTTAAAAAATTTCGAGATTTGGTTAATAACAAATTAACAAAGGACAATCTTGGTTAATCGCAATTAGAATAAACCATGTAGGCTTTTAAATCCATGCTTTCTCAAACTGAGTCAACGTTGAAGAAAATTTGGGAAGAATTATAACAATCTATCTAGCAAGCTTATTATATGATTTAAAAGGAAAACTAATTATACTTTAACCTCATCAACGAAAATACAAATCTAGCTGAATCCTCCTACACAAACTTGGAAAAATTAGTAAACTATGTAGAAGGAACGAACTTATCTGATTGGAATACTCAGAAGAATTCTTTTATGATGGTATTAGATCAGACAAAAAATTGGTGGGAGCATCATATTAAGCGTTTTATTGAAGAGTTTAACCCAAGAATGCAATCAATTCAATCATTAATTAAGTAAGTATTTAAATCATATCCCTAGGGAAGAAAAACAACATATTGATTAAATGAAGGAAGATCTTTTTGAAATCTTGGCTTACATCCAGGATATTGATGAATCTATATATAAGAAGATTGTTGAGATAATTAAAAGAGAGAAAGTTTCAGACATCCTTGGATTCCTTTTGAAGACAAACAATCAACACTTATATGAAACTTTTTTCAGTAAGCAAGAAAATATAAACGATATACAGAGGTAAATAAAGAAAATAAAAATGTTTTGACAAATATTTATGATCATAAATTTAATAAAGATGACTATTCTTCAGAAGTTTTTGAAAAGGCAAGATAAGACCTAATAAAAAGGATGAAAAATAATAAAGGGATCATAGATTTTATCAAGTATTTAGTTCTCCTCACAAGCATAGATGTAAAATTTATGTAAAGCGGATCAAATGGATTGAATTTATTAGTAGGCATGAAGATAGATATAAGGAATTAATCATTTGAGAATATAAGAATAAGGAATACTTCTTTAATTGGTGGTAACTTTGCACGATGCAACTTGATTGGATCGGAATTTGATAATGTGGATATCAGTGGAGTCAATTTTAATGGTGCAATATTATTTAATTGTAAATGGAAGAACTTAAAAATCCATGAATTAAATAAGATGGATGGTCATAATTGAAGTGTTTTGTAAATCTAAATTTCTCCTGATGGAAATACATTAGCTTCTACATCTGGTAGTAATGATAAGTCTATCCGTCTATGGGATGTCAAAACAGGATAATAAAAAGCCAAATTGGATGGTCATACTAACACTGTCTGGTCAGTCTGTTTCTCTCCAGATGGTAATACATTAGCTTCTGGTAGTAATGATAAGTCTATTCGTCTATGGGATGTCACAACAGGATTGCAAAAAGCCAAATTTGATGGTCATAAGCATTGGGTAATGTCAGTTTGTTTCTCTCCTGATAGAAATACATTAGCTTCTAGTGGTGGTAATCCTTTTGGTGGTGGTGACAACTCTATCCGTCTATGGGATGTCAAAACAGGATAATAAAAATGCAAATTTATTGGTCATACTAACACTGTTGGGTCAGTTTGTTTTTCTCCAGATGGAAATACATTAGCTTCTGGTAGTGAAGATAACTCTATCCGTTTGTGGGATGTTAAAATAGGATAAGAAAAAGCCAAGTTAGATGGTCATTGTGGAACTGTCTACTCAGTCTGTTTTTCACCTGATGGAAATTCATTAGCATCTGCAAGTAATGATTAGTCTCTCCGTCTATGGGATGTTACAACAGGATTGTAAAAAGCCAAATTTGATGGTCATTAGCATTGGGTAATGTCAGTTTGTTTCTCATCTGATGGAGATACATTAGCTTCTGGCGGTGGTAATCCTTTTGGTGGTGGTGACAACTCCATCCGCATATGGGATGTCAAAACAGGATAATAAAAAGCCAAATTGGATGGTCATGATGGAACTGTCAACGCAGTTTGTTTCTCTCCTGATGGAAATTCTTTAGCATCTGGTAGTAAGGATACGTCTATCCGTCTATGGAATATCAAAACAGGTTAATAATAAGCCAAATTCGATGGTCATACTAGCATTGTCTACACAGTCTGTTTCTCACCTAATGGAAATACATTAGCATCTGGTAATAATGATTAGTCTATCCGTTTATGGGATGTCAGAACAGGATAGTAAAAAGCAAAATTTGATGGTCATACATCCACTGTCTACTAAGTTTGTTTTTCGCCTGACGGAAATGCATTAGCATCTGGTAGTAATGATTAGTCCCTCCGTTTATGGGATATCACAACAGGATAATTAAAAGTCAAATTTGATGGTCATACATCCACTGTTAAATCAGTCTCTTTCATTCCTGATGGTATTAAATTGGCTTCTGGTAGTGAAGATAACTCCATCCGTCTATGGGATATTAAAACAGGATAATAAATAAACAAATTAGATGGGCATAGTTTTGGTGTCAAGTCAGTTTGTTTCTCTCCTAATGGGAATTTATTAGCTTCTGGTAGTTATGATCAGTCTATCCGTCTATGGGATGTCCAGAATGGAAAAGAATTTTTACTCGATGACAAAACTCTTAAAGATAATCTTGCTAAATTTGAAGCATCGCTATCTTAGAACAATCTTCTATCATGTATTTATTTCATTACTATTTGTTAGTATCTAAAATTACAATTCTACGAATTTCTCGAACTCCATTATTTTAAGCATAAGGAGCTTTGATCTTGAAAGGAGATTTTCTAAATTATGAGGGATACGATCTAAAATAATTATCCAAATCAAAAGGTAGTTGTTTTTTAGATGACTTTAAGTTAAAGTGAGCATGATTATTCATTAACAATATTACAACTATAATTTCAATCAATATCTAATATTTTTTTTAATTATGTCTTTATCAGATTCTATTCTTCATCTTAATTTCTAAAGCTAGGTACGTTTTAATTTTTCAAGTTTTATTCCATTTCAGTAATTTATACACCACAAGTATTTTAATATTATTAAAACATATGGTCAGTCTAGTGTAATAAATGATGTCATATAAACTATTATTAATTAATATTAATAGAGATTTAATTTTTAATGATGCTACATTAAATAAGCACTCTACAAAATGTTTAACAGAGAGCAGTGATCTTAACGAAGAGCTAAAAGAATTGCGAAATAATTATTTAAAAAAAGTTACTTAACACACAACTGAATTCTTTTAAATAGTCGAAGATATAATCATAGATTTACTAAATTAATTAATATTTATTAAAAGGATTGTTTATAAGTTATAATAGTTATTTTTTTAGTTCATAAATAATAAACAATAGTTAAAAATTACTTATTATTTTATTTAATAACTAGAATAAGAAAAATATATGTCATTTTTTAAGAAATCCTAGAAATAATCTAACCTATAAAAAAGTTAAAAAAAATAGATTGAATGATTTTTGCTCACCCCATTAAAATTAAGGAGATTAACTTAAGCTCTATGTGAACCCATACCTATATCCAAAGGAGCAAATATTATACAAGCTTAGATAATAAACATTAAACCAACAATATCATGTAAAAAATACACTTAATTTAATTTTAGCCACTATATTACTTATAGCAGCTTACTTTCTTTCAAATTTAATTGAAATATTTTTGAATTCATCAACATGTCAAATTTACAGTTAACTTTGCACATTAAGAAATACCCTAAATTTCTGAAGAACAAAACTAATGAATTTATTGTTATGCATATATCAATTAAATTCATCCTATATTAATTTTGCATCATAATAAAAAATAGTCCCCTTCAAATTACACAAAAATATTTTGAATAATTCAAAGCAAAACTATTAAACAAATTGAAGAAAGTTATTTATAAGAAATAGTTCTTTTCTAAAAGAAAAAATATAAGAAAATAATGACTTACCCAGGAATACATTGAAAAATCATTAATTGGTTATAAGAGTAAGATTTTATTCAGATATATTCTAAACAAATATTTATGCTCTAAAATAAGGATTATCAAAAAATGTACTAATTAATTATATTACTCAAATTAAGTATAAATTAATTTATTCATATACAAATTAATTATTCTATATGATTAAAGAATAAAGCTATGTATATGTCGAAATGAATTCTCAATAGTATAATTTACCTGAATTATAATCGATTTCAAATCTACACAATGTCTGGATTTCTATTTTACGAAAATAAATAAGATACTTCAATCGATTTTGCAGTAAATAAATTAAAGTCGGAGTAATAGAAATTCAATATTAAAAATTAAAAAGAAAATGTAGTGCCTTGTTTAAGAAAATGATTCTCTAGCTGACGTCTTTTATTAAGTTAAAGATATAGATGAACAAATATTTGGCGTCATATTAGAAATATTTATAAAGGAGAAAGTTTAAGGTTGCATAGGGTATCTTTCAGATAATGGAAATCAAAAAATTTAGGAACAATACATCTTAGAACAAGGAGAGAATTTAATAGAAGATGATAATAAATAGCAATTTTATNTAATAAATGATGTCATATAAACTATTATTAATTAATATTAATAGAGATTTAATTTTTAATGATGCTACATTAAATAAGCACTCTACAAAATGTTTAACAGAGAGCAGTGATCTTAACGAAGAGCTAAAAGAATTGCGAAATAATTATTTAAAAAAAGTTACTTAACACACAACTGAATTCTTTTAAATAGTCGAAGATATAATCATAGATTTACTAAATTAATTAATATTTATTAAAAGGATTGTTTATAAGTTATAATAGTTATTTTTTTAGTTCATAAATAATAAACAATAGTTAAAAATTACTTATTATTTTATTTAATAACTAGAATAAGAAAAATATATGTCATTTTTTAAGAAATCCTAGAATTAATCTAACCTATAAAAAAGTTAAAAAAAATAGATTGAATGATTTTTGCTCACCCCATTAAAATTAAGGAGATTAACTTAAGCTCTATGTGAACCCATACCTATATCCAAAGGAGCAAATATTATACAAGCTTAGATAATAAACATTAAACCAACAATATCATGTAAAAAATACACTTAATTTAATTTTAGCCACTATATTACTTATAGCAGCTTACTTTCTTTCAAATTTAATTGAAATATTTTTGAATTCATCAACATGTCAAATTTACAGTTAACTTTGCACATTAAGAAATACCCTAAATTTCTGAAGAACAAAACTAATGAATTTATTGTTATGCATATATCAATTAAATTCATCCTATATTAATTTTGCATCATAATAAAAAATAGTCCCCTTCAAATTACACAAAAATATTTTGAATAATTCAAAGCAAAACTATTAAACAAATTGAAGAAAGTTATTTATAAGAAATAGTTCTTTTCTAAAAGAAAAAATATAAGAAAATAATGACTTACCCAGGAATACATTGAAAAATCATTAATTGGTTATAAGAGTAAGATTTTATTCAGATATATTCTAAACAAATATTTATGCTCTAAAATAAGGATTATCAAAAAATGTACTAATTAATTATATTACTCAAATTAAGTATAAATTAATTTATTCATATACAAATTAATTATTCTATATGATTAAAGAATAAAGCTATGTATATGTCGAAATGAATTCTCAATAGTATAATTTACCTGAATTATAATCGATTTCAAATCTACACAATGTCTGGATTTCTATTTTACGAAAATAAATAAGATACTTCAATCGATTTTGCAGTAAATAAATTAAAGTCGGAGTAATAGAAATTCAATATTAAAAATTAAAAAGAAAATGTAGTGCCTTGTTTAAGAAAATGATTCTCTAGCTGACGTCTTTTATTAAGTTAAAGATATAGATGAACAAATATTTGGCGTCATATTAGAAATATTTATAAAGGAGAAAGTTTAAGGTTGCATAGGGTATCTTTCAGATAATGGAAATCAAAAAATTTAGGAACAATACATCTTAGAACAAGGAGAGAATTTAATAGAAGATGATAATAAATAGCAATTTTATGATTTTTAAAATAACATCAAACTAATTACTAATGTCTTAAAAAAAATAAAAGATCATGGCTTCAATACATTAGACTATTCAAATGAAGAATATGAAGAATCTATAAAGAATTTAATTAAAAGAATAAAATAAGATAGAAAAATCATAGAATTTTTGAAATTTTTAGTTCACCTTACATCTATAGATAAAACTTTCCTCTAATGTGGGTCTAATTCATTACATATATTAGTTTAGATGAAGGTGGACCTTAGAAACAATAATTTTGAAAATATTCAAATCTAAAATACTTCTTTAGTAGAAGCTAATTTTGTTAGGTGTAATTTAAGTGGATCCTAGTTTAATAATGTCAACATAAGTGGAATAAATCTGAATGGAGCCATATTAATAAATTGTAAATGGAAAAATTTAAAAATCCATGAATTAAATAAAGTAAATGGTCATACTAATTATGTCTACTCAGTCTGTTTCTCTCCTAATGGAAATATATTAGCATCTAGTAGTAGAGATAACTCTATCCGTCTATGGGATGTCAAAACAGGATAATCAAAAGCCAAACTAGACTGTCATAGTAATGGTGTTAACTCAGTATGTTTCTCTTCGGATGGTAATACATTAGCTTGTGGGAGTGGTGATAAGTTTATCCATCTATGGAATGTGAAGACAAAGAAAAAAATAGTCAAATTCGTTGGTCATTTGGACACTGTCAATTCTGTCTGTTTCTCTCCTAATGGAAAAAGATTAGCATCTGGTAGTAGTGATAACTCCATCCGTCTATGGGATGTGAAAACAAGATAATAAAAAGCCATATTGGATGGTCATACTAGTTATGTCTTGTCGGTCTGTTTTTCACCTGATGGAACTACATTAGCATCAGGTAGTAGTGATAACTCTATCCGTCTATGGGATGTCTAAACAGGATAATAAAAAGCCACATTCGGTAGTCATAAGAATTGGGTAATGTCAGTCTGCTACTCTCCTGATGGAAATACGTTAGCCTCTGGTAGTTATGACAAATCTATCCTTCTATGGGATGTCAAAACAGGATAATAAAAGGCCAAATTAGATGGCCATAGTAATGGTGTTAATTCAGTCTGTTTCTCTCCTCATGGAAATTCATTAGCATCTGGTAGTAAGGATACGTCTATCCGTCTATGGAATGTCAAAACAGGATAATAAAAAGCCAAATTAGATGGTCATACTAGTGATGTCTATTCAGTCAGTTTCTCACCTGATGGAAATACATTAGCTTCTGGTGGTAGTGACAAATCTATCCGTCTATGGGATGTTAAAACTGGATAATACAAACCCAAACAAAATGGCCATACTAGTGTTATCTCATCAGTTTGTTTTTCTCCTGATGGGAATACATAAGCTTCTGGTAGTTATGATAAATCTATCTGTCTATGGGATGTCAGAACAGGATAATAAAAAGCTAGGTTTGATGGTCATACTAGAACTGTCTACTCAATCTGTTTTTCACCTGATGGAACTACATTAGCTTCTGGTAGTGATGATCACTCTATCCGCCTATGGGATATCAAAATTGGATAATAAACAGCCATATTGGATGGTCATACTAGCACTGTCTACTCAGTCTGTTACTCTATTGATGGAAATATATTAGCTTCTGCTAGTAAAGACAAATCTATCCTTCTATGGGATGTAAAAACAGGATAATAAAACCTGAAATTGTATGGTCATACTAGCACTGTCTACTCAGTCTGTTTTTCACCTGATGGAACAACATTAGCTTCTGGTAGTTATGATAACTCTATCCGTCTATGGGATGTCAAAACAGGATAATAAAAAGCCAAATTAGATGGTCATAGTAGTTGTATTAACTCAGTCTGTTTCTCTCCTGATGGAAATACATTAGCTTCTGGTAGTGATGATAAGTCTATCCGTCTATGGGATGTCAAAACAGGATAATAAAAAGCCAAATTAGATGGTCATACTAGTGATGTCTATTCAGTCAGTTTCTCACCTGATGGAAATACATTAGCTTCTGGTGGTAGTGACAAATCTATCCGTCTATGGGATGTTAAAACTGGATAATACAAACCCAAACAAAATGGCCATACTAGTGTTATCTCATCAGTTTGTTTTTCTCCTGATGGGAATACATAAGCTTCTGGTAGTTATGATAAATCTATCTGTCTATGGGATGTCAGAACAGGATAATAAAAAGCTAGGTTTGATGGTCATACTAGAACTGTCTACTCAATCTGTTTTTCACCTGATGGAACTACATTAGCTTCTGGTAGTGATGATCACTCTATCCGCCTATGGGATATCAAAATTGGATAATAAACAGCCATATTGGATGGTCATACTAGCACTGTCTACTCAGTCTGTTACTCTATTGATGGAAATATATTAGCTTCTGCTAGTAAAGACAAATCTATCCTTCTATGGGATGTAAAAACAGGATAATAAAACCTGAAATTGTATGGTCATACTAGCACTGTCTACTCAGTCTGTTTTTCACCTGATGGAACAACATTAGCTTCTGGTAGTTATGATAACTCTATCTGTCTATGGGATGTCAAAACAGGATAATAAAACCTGAAATTGTATGGTCATACTAGCACTGTCAACTCAGTCTGTTTTTCACCTGACGGAAATACTTTAGCTTCTGGTAGTAATGATAAGTCTATCCGTCTATGGGATGTAAAAAAAGGTTAATAAAAGGCCAAATTAGATGGTAATACTAGTTATGTCTATTCAGTCAGCTTCTCATCTGATGGAAATAAATTAGCTTCTGGTAGTTATGATAAGTCTATCTGTATATGGGATGTCAAAACAGGATAATAAAAAGCCAAATTAGATGGTCATAGTAATTGTATTAATTCAGTCTGTTTCTCTCCTGATGGAAATACATTAGCTTCTGGTAGTAGTGATTACTCTATCCGTCTATGGGATGTAAAAGAAATTTATTCATCTGATAAAAATTACAAAGATAATTTACCTCTCGAATTTGCCAACAGTCCATTTTAATTATATAGTATTAATACCCAATTTTTTTAGTTAATCCTATTGTTGCAACACTCATCATTAGCCAATACATATCTTTTGAAGCCTAATCAACTATAATTTTTAAAGGAGAATTCATAAATCACCAAGGCAAAGACTTATGTTATTTATTAAAGAATAGAGGAGCTTGTTTTTTAGAAAGCTCTTTAAACATTTCATAGAATTCAATTAATATTTGATTTATATTCCAAATTATATAAATTTAATATATCAAGAATTTTAATATTTTTTTTCTTTTATAGACAATATAAATTATTGTTAAATAATTTACAGGAATATTTAAAGGTCTTAATTTAAATGATGCTTCATAATATATATAATTTAATGCTGTACCAACTTTTTGATTTAAAATTCAACAAGTGAAGATACTATCAGAGAGTAGGAAGTAATATAAATGTTATACATTTAAATTAATTTATTTCGAATTCAACTCTTGTAAAAAATTTTCAACTTCAACTTAAACTCTTCATCTATTTTTACTATTTCAAACTAAACACCAAATTTCGACTTTCAAGCTAGAATTATCCCAATTATATACATAGTTGAAATAGTTCATAAACTGTCAATGACTAGCTTACATCAATTAACATTTTTCACAGATTACTTTAAGTTATTATCATGAGTATATTGATTTTCGCATCGATCAAAATAAACTTGTAGACATTAATTATTGATTATCTATAGGCATGTTTACTTATTAAGTTCTTCTTTGGACAAGGCATCTCTCCTTTTTCAGATTCATTCCAATCCTGTCCTTTATTCTTATTTTTTTTATCAATTGAACAGCTATATAAGAATTGTCTAAAATGAAAAATTTTAACCTCTGCCAAATCTGCTGTTACATAATTAAATTAATGTTGCAAGAAAATTTTGATAATATGAGCATCAAAGTTTGTGTTTACACTCTACAATAGAAAAATCCTTATACAATAGTACCAATAATATTAATTCGTTTTGTGATTGAAATAAAGTTTTTATGAATCTTTTGCCTATTTTACTTCAAACCTTTTAAGGAAAGTTATTCTCTATTCCACTTTCATCAACGTAAATTGGGCATAAACTAATTATTGATATTCAACATAATTAATGACAGAATATTCAATAGTTGTCTATCCGTAACATGAAAAAATTTTTATAATCATATTTGATAATCCTCTCTCTCTACATATTCTTCCTCCTGAATATAATCACCTTCAAGTAATTAATTTTTTTTTAAACATATTTAATTATTTAATTTTTTTTCCTTCTTTTATTATTACTTAATATTCTTCTCTTTAAACATCAGATTATTATACTATCTTGCTTATGTTTAGGATCTTTTGAAAAATCTTCCTTAGATTTTCTAAGCAGCGATGTTTAAAAATCTTATTAAAATCTAATTCATTTTAGATATTTACGTTAATTCTTGTTAAGATACAAGAGATACATTCTTCGATATATTCTGTTTAAAGAAAAAATTGTTTTCTTTAAGAGTGTGAATAATATTCACCATTCTTATTTTTTTTTCAAAAAGATAACCTTTTTCGATGGCCCAAGATTTTATTTGATAGATTTGTTTCATTACTATCCATAAGTCAAATTTAAAGACTTGCTTTAACAAGTACCCAATTTTGATTTCAGAAGATTTTATTCAAAATATTTCTTTGTCATAATTTTAGGAAGATAATATCCTTTACGTATTACTGAATAGTATGCAGAATCTAATGATCCCATTTTTGTATTGGCTTCTTATATTGAAACAGACATTTCTCACCTTAATTAATAAATTAATTCAAAAATAATTATTTTGAAATCATAATTTATATTTTGAAGTAAAATTAATATCAAACCTTGAAAGCTGTAATAGTTTTAATTAATCCATTTCAAAAAAATCAAAGTTATTTAAGAAATATCTTTTGAAATTAAAATTTGAATTTTTCATGATAATATTAATTAATAAAAATACAATTAAAAAATGCAGATTAAGTATCAATAAGAAGATATAATAAAAAAATAGTAATGAGTAATTTTTTTCAATATTAAATTATCTCAAATACAATTTTTAACAGATGTTAAAGAGGGATCATTTTTGTGATGAATCATGTCTAGATTATGGATAACTTCAGAATTGGTAGATGAGATAAATTTTTTAGAATCCTTAAAAGTTTTAGTTATGGATTTTGAAAAGGCCCTCAAAATTTGTTAATCAAAAATCCAAAACCACAATTCTTTGCACTTAAACTAAAAATAAAAAATCAATCAAAAAGTAAATACTATAATACATCTTTCTCCATAAAAAAATTTCCTTTCTTAATCAATTAAATTAATTTTACAAAGTCAATGATCAAAACATTTCATTAGTGGCCTAATCTATAAATTTGGGTATCTCAATACAAAGATTACAATAATTGCATATGGGAGTGTAAGCTAATTAAATTCTACCTGGTATTCATCATTTTGAATTCCTGATATATCATTCTCATTGAATCTCTAATTAAGGAAATATCTAAATCTTATATTCAATAAAAAGAATCTCAATTATTTTTAATCCATTTTAAAGTGAATAATGACCAGCTATCAATTACAAAATTTCGAAAAAAATAGTTAAATAACTTGGATATTCCAATAAAATACATTAATGAAAGCGAAGAGTTTAAGTCGATGTTGAAAAAGTGTTACAAAAGTTGAATTCAAAATAAATTATTTTATAATGTGTAACATTTATAAGATACATTAGAAATATGTCAAGGATCAAGTAAAAAATTTAATTTTAATTGCATCAACAGAAACTCATATGACTTGTTTATTCCTAAAATTGATAGAAATAGAACATATATTTATGGAAACTAATCTATCTATTTTAGTGTTTGTGGTACTGGCTTGATTTTTTTGTCTTTAGTAAAGTTCTATTAGATAAATTGAAATAAAAATAATAAAAGAATCATTGAAACATAAATAATATGTATAATAATCTTATATATAGTAGTTTATATTATAAATTAACTAATCTTAATATTAAATTCCTTTCATTTATTCATTCTTCTTCATAATTTATCAAATTTCTGCTTTTTACATTATGAAGATAAAATTTAGATTGATTTACCATTCCTTATTCTTATATTGGTAGCAATAAATCTAATTTTACAAAGTATATGAAAAAAAATTCAGGAAATTTATCGACTAATAATAGTATATTTATTACCATGGATTATTTTAGTAAGACCATAATATGAATATTTGAAGTAATTGATTTTCTGTTAATTTAAAAATATTAATTAATTGTTCATTTATTATTCTGCCTAATCAATTTAAGGAATCTAATTATGAAGATTACATTAAGTGTTGTGAATAAACCTACTCAATCTACATTATTTTTGCATTAGAATTTAAACAAAATAATGATGCTAAAACAACTAAAAATCAAAAATGCATTTAATTATTTTATACAATTAAGTTCTTGGAATATGATCATTTTTGTTATATAATCTCTAATTTCACAACTTTTATTGAAAATTATTGTAAATAATATTATTATAAAAAGATTGTATAATCTGAAATTTAATTTAAATTTTCTTATAGTTTTTCATGAATACTTTAAAAATAAGGTATGATTTTTATTTATAAACTCACTAGCATATGAACATTTTACTTTTATTGGTTTATTGGATAATTTTTCTAACACTTTATTTTTTTATTTTTACTGTATTGTATGTAAGTACCAAAATAATTATCTAAAATAGGATGACCATAACTTACAATTTTATAAAAATGATACTTATAATGGTCATTATAATCCAATTTACTATCATTCAATTTTTATTCCTGCTCTCGATCACAAGCCAACATAATTCTAATTGCACATAAACTTCCAAAAATCATTTATTTATAGAGGATGAATAGGTATCAATACTTCAGATGAATGAAGAAGTAATGTATTAGATGACAACAATTATAATAAAGCCCTGCTTTAAATTAAATTATAAATTTTATACAAAATAATTTTTAGAAATTTTTTAATTTATTAAAATACAGTTATATCTCCTTAAACTCTATTTCTATTAGTAACTAACAAAAGGTTTGTTCTGTCTCTGCCTAATTGAGAAAAGCTTGATTGCTTTAGCCTGTATTATTAAAAATAAGAATTAAATAATTTTCTTTGTAAGTCTAATGAAATAGAAACTTAAAGAATATTAACTAATAAAATTAATTCGAGACTTCAAAAATAATATATTTTTATAAGACTAATTTTTCTGATAAAATATTAATAGAGTTAGAATAAAGTCCCTTTGTCCTCAAAGTTTGAATTTTATTAAATTTTGTTTAATATTCATAATCTTAATTTATCATTTTGACAATTATTAGCTTTTTAAGAAATATCTATATTTAATTCTATTAATATAGAAAAAATTGCAATTTCTAATAATCAATATGAGCTCATAACTCAAGAAAAAATTTATAAATCATTTTTATTTAAGAAGATGAACAGTATTAATCAAGTCTTTTTTATGAGCATTTCATAAAATAATTAATTTAAGTTGGTTTTGAAAGGAGGAAGAAGCTTCAATTCAGAAGAACAAGATAACGGTCAAAAGAGAAATCATTAAATAAGGAATTTTTTGACTTGAATGGAAGATGAAAGAAGAATAAGACATACTTCCCAATCAAAGTGAGGAGAATATATATACTTAATATATTTATTTAAACTTTTTGATTGATTGATAAATCATAAAGGATATTTTAACAAATTTAAACACAATACTATGAGGATCATTTTAGAACTAAACTAAACAGTTTAATATGAATTTAAAGGATCCTGTTAATTATTAATAACAATTAAATTTTGTCATATATATTCCTAAATTATTAACTTTTATTCAATAGATTTATTTATCGAATTATAATATTACTTATGTATGATGCTATTTTGATTGAATTTGATGATAATTAAAGGTGTACACTTTGAAGTATCAATAATTAGGTTCGATTTGGTGTCGATTTTGTTAAAATAATTTGTTTGCAATGTTGATAGAATTATGTTTAGATTTATGGAGTTTGTATGAGTTTATTAGATATAATCTTCTTCTATAAATTTCAACGAAGAAATATCTTTATCATCTTGTTAATTTCCATATTTAGAATAATAATTATAAATTTAGATGCAAGAATAAAAATGTTTAAAATCTTATCAAAATTTATGATA